CTCTCTCTCTCTCTCTCTCTCTCTCTCTCTCTCTCTCTCTCTCTCTCTCTCTCTCTCTCTCTCTCTCTCTCTCTCTCTCTCCTCTCTCTCTCTCTCTCTCTCTCTCTCTCTCTCTCTCTCTCCCGTCTTGCTTTGTACGTCCCCAAAGATCACCATAAAACTGACACACAACAACAGAAGGTCCCCGTCCACACCGACCTCCCCGTCCGCCCGGCCGTCGTGCCCGTCTACCCGCCCGCGCCGGTGCAGCCGGTGCACCCGGTGGTCGTGGTCGACGAGCCCGTGCACGGCGCCGCCCCGGTCGCGACGCCCATCGCCGCCCCCGCCCCCGTCGTCGCCCCCGTGGCCCGCGTCGGCACCGTCACCCACAACGGCCACTACGTCGTGCCGACCGCCAAGCCCGACGGCGGCGCCACCATGCCCGTCACGGCCGGCGCCAACGCCGCCCGCGACGCGCGCGGCGTGCTCGGCCTGGCCGTCGCCGCTGGCGTGGCTGCCGTTGGCGCCTTTGCCATGTAAAGAGAGGCGAGAAAGGAGGGAGGGGGGGAGGGGCTTTCAAGAAGAAAGAAAGAATGAGTAGAAAGGATGGAGAGGCGGGCGCGCGGATATCGAAAGGTCGTTTCGTGCCAAACAAGCCCTCTCTCTGCTCACCCCGGAGCCATACAAGTGCCCGGCAAGCGCATGGCTGCCTCCCACCAAACCGGACCACGCGGACCTGAGCGGGGTTTTTTGAGGTAAATGGCGTAGTGGCATATCGCCGCGTTCCCGTTCGTCCCGTCCCGTTCCTGTCCCTTTATATGCCGCCACGCCATTGGCCCTAGACTCTTGCGAAGGCCGCCGGTTCGATCCCCGGCCATGCTTTTTCTTGTCCTTTCTCTTGTTTGTCTCTCTTCCTGGGTTATGGACTGCGGGCCTTTTTTTTTCATTTTCCTTTCTGGGAACTACAGGTATGGATGGATGGGTGTTTGGGGAATGCTGTTTTGTCTGGTTCTCTGCCTTGGATGGATTTGTTTGCTTTGATCTTTGTACCTCTGGGTATTTTGCGTTTCAAGGAGTTGGGCTTTCGGCGGAAGGGGCTTTTCAAAATTTCGCCCAGGGGTTTTAATATCAAAGGGCTAGCTTTGATCTCATGCGTGGTGTTTTCTGCTAGTTTCGTCCCTGTGTTGGAAAGCTGTGATCTTATCTGACAACAATCCCCGACAAAACTGTTGCTATATCGAGACGCTAGCGAGGATGCATGGCCATGCACACCCCCGCCCAACTCCTCACCAAGTACTGGGAATGTCATCCATGGCCTTGACCCGGTCCAGGTACTGAGGAGATCAAGGCAAGAGCCAATGACTTTAGCCCCTCAAGGAGGGCATTAATAGGTGCCCGAAGCTTTCTTTTCTCTGGTTTTTTAGTGACCAAGTCCGTCTTGTGGCTCCATCTCCCTTTGCCTATTTTTGTTGAGCATGCCCGGAGTCGTTTCCTTATTTTACCCATGCCAGTGTGGTCGACATACGAGTAACTCGCCTCGGCCTAGCTCAATGAGCCACGGCTCCCGCTGCCCGAACCCATCAAGCCCAAGTCGTCCCAGGGTTCAGGTTATTGTGGGATAACTGTAGGCACGGTTTTCTTGCCCATCGTCCTCCGGCCCACAACACATAGTAGTCAGCAAGTGCTCAATTCACCTTTATCGGCTTTCTTTATTCTCGCCTCTCGCTCGTGACCCTGCTAGGTTTGCTCCTGGGTTCACATGGACTGATCATAGGTAGTAAAGAGCAATAATATTTATCCGCATGTGCCGTTATCCGGCGCAGAATATGATATGATGTATACTCATAAAGGCCAGGCAGTCTTTCTGTATCCTCTAAAGGGGTATCTCTGATGGTTTTTTTTACTTCCTTTCGTCTCCAGAACGAACGAGCAAACCAAAGAATCCAGAAGCAGTCAATGCTGTCTGATCTAATCCAGCCAATCATAACAGTCATACCATAGAAGAAGACAAAACAAACAGTTCAGTGAAATTCGTGAAGCGCAAGCGGTGAGTTGACAGGCGACGCGCCCAGCGACCCGGGCCGCAGGGCCAGCGGGTGCGAGTCGTACTGGGCCGAGTTGCGCATCATCATGAGCCGCGGGCTGCTGGCCTCGGGCCGGGCCTCGCTGCCCTCGAGCTCGGCAAAGAAGGGCTGCTGCTGCTGCCGGGCCAATGGCGAAGACGCCCGCCCCGTGGGGGTAGACGCCACCGACGAGGTGAACGAGGCCGTCTCGACCGCGTCCGCCGCGTTGCGTGCGGCCCTGTCGATGGCTGCCGAGAGGCTGTCAGCCTCGTCGTCGTCGGCGTCGTTGAACTCGTACGGGTTCATCTCCGGGTAGAAGAAGCCGCCCGACTTGGGCCGCGCCGCCGACTGGGGCGAGTCCAAATCGTGCTCGTCGTCGTCGTCCTGGGGCACCAGGCGGATCGAGGACGGGTAGATGCTGCTGGCGTTGGAGTTGGACTTTGAGATGCGCAGCGGGTTCGGGAACGGGTTGATGCCGCTTTTGCCGCTGTCCGTGCGCAGGCCGAGACCACTGATGACGACCGTCTCGTCGCCGCCGCCGCTGCTGCTGCCCTTGGAGGCGGTGGTCGCGAAGTCTTCGACCCCGATGCTCGACACCGGGGACGGCGGCACAGCCGCGGCCGGCGTGTTGCCCGCGCTGCAGGCCGATGGCGCCATCATCAGGTTCGGCGTGTACGTCGGCGGCGGCGGCGAGTAGGCCCGGTGTGTGCTGCTGCCGGCGGGGGGAGAAGACAGGAGGGGCGGCTGGGGAGAACGGAAGATGGCGGGGACGTCGCCGCCGCCGCCGAGCCCCGAAAACGGCGGTAGCCCGCCCGATATGGGAGGCGACGGCAGCGAGACCAGCGGCGGGCGGAAGAACACGGGCACGTCGTCGGGGCCGCCAAAGCCGCTGCGGTCCGACGATGAGCGGGGCCGCCCGCCCGAGACGGGAGGGGAGGGCAGCGGGGCCTGTGGCGTGCGGAAAAACGCGGGCACGCTGGCGCTGTCGAGCGAGGCACGATGCCAGTCACCACCCGTGACTGGGGGCGAGCCCAGGGGCGCCCGCGGGGGGCGGAAGAGGGTGGGGACGTCGGGATTTTCGCTCTCGTAGGAGCGCCGCGGCTGCTGCTGTGGTGGCGACATGGGTAGTGTCTTGGGCGAATAGCGGCGCTGCGCCGGGTAGTAGGACGAGTCGGCGCTGACGGGCTGCGGCCACGCGCCGCCGAGTGCCGGGGAGAGCGACCTGTGCGGCGTGCCGGCGGGCGAGCCGCCTAGAGACGCACATTGGCCGTGACCGTTCCTGTGTGGGCCATTGCTGCCGGTGCCATCACTTAGGCTGTGCGCGTGCGCCCGACAGGTGGTGGCAGTAGCCGTGGTGGTGCTGCTGCTGGCCTTGTGAGAAGGGTTCAGCGACGACGGGCGCGGGCTGTACCGCGGTGGGGTGTACCCCGGAGCGCTGCCGACGCTGGAGCCCCGGTGTGACCTGACGCCCGGCGGCGAGGCGGCTGCGAACAAGGCGGTCGAGAAGCCGGCCGAGGTGGCGGCCAGGTCGGTGGCGGCCTTGCCGGCCTTGCGGAGGAGGGTGGTGACGAGGGTCATGTGGGCGCGCTTGGTGGTCTTCTTGACGAAGGAGGCCATGAGCACGTTGCAGCGCAGCTCGACGTCCTCGCGGATGTAGAGCCCCTTGGCGGGGGCCTTGATGCCGATCTCGGTCCGCTCGGGGACCTCGCCGGGCAGATAGCCGTTGAGGGTCCAGCGGGAGCGGATGTCGACGCCCAGGGGCGCGCGGCAGTGAGTCTGGATGCCGTTGGGCAGGTCCGAGAAGGCTGCCGTGTACGAGATGTCGCCCGTGACGATGCCGCCGGGCAGGTAGCTGATCTCGTCGGTCAGCGAGTACCACGCACACCGGCGCTCGTCGGTGGGGGCGTCGGCGGGGACGGGGATGGGGTGCCGCTCCTTGATGAGCGGGTTCAGATCGATCATCTCGACATGGTTGTGCAGAAAGTCCAGCACCAGCTCCCGCGTGACGTTTGACGGGAGCGGGCTGATTTCTGTGTATGTGGTTCGCTTGGACATGGTTCCCTGCGGGTGGTTCGTCTGACGGCGATCGGGCCAGAGTCTATATTAACGTATATACCCAGGCTACTCCTGGGTCGGACCACGGCGTATATAACAATGGCTTTGTCGTGGTGGTGGTGATGGGGTGTTGGTTCGAAGAGTCGTATCGACGTTCCCAAGGCACCGAGGCATGGGAACCCATGGGAACGGCAGCAGCCCTGCTTATACGTTGGAGAGCTGCGCCAAGACCCTATGCTCAGCCTAGCGGCTGCCTCCCCACGCAAAGTCCGGCGGTCTTTTGCTGGCGGGTGGCATGGCTTGGTTTCTTGGGCAGCTGTGCCGGGCTGGGTTTGCACAGCACAGCGTGCATATCCCTAGCGCCTCCGGCTTTGTGGGAGCTGAAAATCAGGGATGGGGCGACAGTAGCCGCTGTCCAAGCCACGGGACTGGGGTGTGCCGCGGTGCTGGGGAAAGGGCAGTGCCAGGCCCGGCGACGAAAATACCCAGAACAGCCCCCAAAGCCTAAACGCAGAAGCCGAACGGTGCCGAGACAAGCGATGAACCAATCAGCCCAACGCGGGAACCGGGAAAAACGAAGGGAGGGAGGCTTGCCGACCGGATTGGCAGTTTGCCGATCTGTGGGTTTTGTCAAGTGGGGTCTTGCTGAAAAATGCCGGATCGGGTTGCGTGAGACCCAATTCCGTCAGGTGCTGATCCCCTTGTTAGGTCGTATTTTTCAGCCATTTCGCCAAGTGGATCTCGCTTCTGTGAATCAGCATATGTCTGATTCCATCACCACCCCAATCCTCCACGCCTGCAACCCTCGTCATCCCGCCCTGCTCAACCGCAGCCTATTGGGAGTCACAATCGCATTACCGCATTACCGCATCTGACCTTCCATCTGGCAAAAAAAAAAAAAGGAACAAGGATAACCAGAAATCATATCATGGGTGCTAATCCTTTGGGCCAGGCGGCAGAGCAGGTGGACTGACAGCTCCACCGTGCTGATCTGCGCCACAACATGCGCCCATCTCCCTCCCCTGCCCTGCCCGTGCCCGGCCAAAGTGTGCCGTTGCTCTGAGCAACACAGTCTATTCTACTTGGTCATCTACTAGTGCCAGCCACAAACCCCAAACCATCCTGTCAAATCTCCCTGCACCACCGCGCCAGGACCGAACTGGGCTTGAGCGCCACCGGAATCTCCTCGAGCGCCACGTCCACCTTCCACATCCTGGCCTCGACGCTGCCCGCCCCGCCCCTGCCGGGCCCTGCCGCCTGCCTGAGCAGGCCGGCCGAGATGAGGTGCTCCCACGCGATCCCGGCCACCCCCCGGCCCCATGTCCTGGCCCCGCCGCCAAGCGCGAGCACGCCGGCCGTCGCTGACTGTACCCGCTGCCGCCCCATCAGCGACGTGTATTCGTCGTATGCCATGGCAAAGTTGACCGTGTCCATGTGTGCCACCACGTCCAGCCGCGCTGCCGAGATCAGCAACGCGAGGTCCAGGTCTGAGAGCGACTCCATCAGCACCAGCTTCGAGTCCGGCGCCTCGAGCGACAGCCCCGCCACTGCTGCTGTTGGCCCCGCCCCCGTTCCTGCCGGTACCCGAACCCGAGGCACCGCTGGTGAGATTGTTGATAGTGGCAGGATGCACGACGCCAGAAAAGCCCCGATTGACTTGCTGGTGTAGTAGTAGTACTCCAGATGGTCTTGGAACGCCCGCGTCTGCCGCATCGCCTTGATTGTTGAAGCATTCTCTAGTCAGCAAAACGAACACAGTTGTCAGACAGCCATGACACCAAGAAAAGAAAGAACTCACATCTATCTCCTTGCTCCACCACTCGTAAAAATCCTTGCGCCCAGCCAATGGCACCCCGAATCCCTCAATGTCCATGTCGTCGTAGTCCACCGTCAAGCCCTGCCGGCAGACGTCCCAGTAGGCGCCGAGGGTTTTGGGGAGCGACAGGTAGACGTAACGGTGACTGAACCGGCTCTTCACCCGCTTCTCCAGGCTCTCGACAACGTCCACCTTGCTGGTGAGGCCCACGACGGCGATGGGCGCCTTCTTGGCCTGCGCGATGTCGAACAGGTTGTAGAGTAGCGTCTGCCGACCATGCGTCGTGAAAAGGTCAAACTCATCCATGACAAAGACGACCGACTTGGACGTGACCCCGGCATCTGCCTCGGCGATCTCGGACGGATGTGACAGCACCGCGAGCAGCGACGCGAGCGTGTCGGCGTAGTTGTTCGTCTTGTTGACGAGCTCGTCCTCCACCTCCATCTCCTTGCCCAGCTGCCGCCATATCTCCTTGAGCGCAATCTTGTCGTCTGTGTGGATGAACCCGTTTAGTCTGACGACGTGGAAGTCGTTCTTATGTGCTTCTGCTATTTCCGAGATGACGCCCTCGATCAACTGCGCGAGACCGAGTTAGTCGGTTGCAAAAAAAAACATGCATTCTGTTGCCCCAGGACAATTGCCCTAATGTATGCACTTACTGTCGTTTTGCCACACCCCCTGGCTCCAATGACAAGCATCGAGTTGCCCTCCCCAGCTAGAACGGTCTGTTCCACGAGCTGTAGTGCATTGCTATATGCTTCGTCTTGGCCCCGTAGCTTGATCCTCCGGTTCCCCGTGCACCTGGAGAGTAGCAGGCGCTGGTATGCCCGCAGGTGCTCTCCAAAGTTGGAGATTTCGGGAATCTTGTTATTTGTGACCACGATGCTGCGTGGGGGCTGCTGCTGCTTCTGCAGTCTCGGGGCAGAGATGGCGCTGATAACATTCTCCCCCGTAACGTCGCCCAAACAGTTCCGACACAGCCAGTCTCCCTCGGGGATGACGGGGACGTTGTGACACTGCTGGTGGTAACCCTTGTCGCACTTGTCGCAGAAGAGCATCTCGTTGGGCGGCTCTGAGTGAGGCAAGAGGCAGAGGACACACACCACGTCATCGTCATTTTGCGCAACAGCAGCAGCAGCAGCCGCCGCCGCCTGCGCCTCCTCCCGCTGGCTAACCCTGCCGCGCTTCCCACTGCTCCCAGGAGTGCCCCGCACCGAAGCCAAGGCCGAGACGGGCGTGGCCCTCTTCTTGGTCGTCGTAGGCACGTCGGCGAAGCTCAGCTCCTCCTGGTCCGGGTCCTCGCCGTCAAAGGCGACGTTCTTGCGGCCGCCTGCCGCCTTGATGCCCTTGCCCTTGTGGGGCGTCAGGATGCTCTTGAGCTTCGAGAGCTTCGTGGGGCCGCGCACCACCGTCACCGACGGCTCCAGCGTTCGCTTCGCCCGCTGCCTGGGCAGGGCCTTTTGCGAGCCCGAGGCCTGCTGGTCCGGCTCCGCTTCGTCGTCGCCGCCGCCGCCCAGCGACCCGCCATCGTCCTCCCGCGGCGCCGGCGCCGGCGAGCCTACCGCAGCGACGCCCCGTCCCGTGGGCAGCGGCTTCCTCGGGGTGTTGCCGTTGCCTGGCGCGAGCGGGACCGCCCTGGTCGGGCTCACCGTCGGCTCCCGCAGCGGGGGCAGTTCAAAGACGCCGATGCTGCTGCTGCCTGCCACCCGCGCCGCGCCCCTGCCCCTGCTCCCCAGGGGCTTGATGGCCGAGCCTCGCGGCTTCTTGGCCGTGGCAGACTTCTCCGGGACGCGCTCATCCTCCGAGTTGGGCAGCTCGTACGGGTCCGGCCGGACCCCCGGCGTCGCTCCAGGTGCCGTCGACTCCTGCGCTGCTGCACGAGAGCCACCGCGACTGCTGCCCCCGCGACCGCGCCCGCGCCCGCGCCCGGACGACGCTGCCCGGCCCCGACCCCGGCCCCGGCCCCGCCCTCTCGCCGAAGTGGAAGAGTCTGGAGCATCGGCTACTAATGACGGCGGTGATTGAGCAGTCCCACTGATCTTTCGCTTTTTTGTTGATGCTGCCGCCGTCTGTGGCGATGAGGCGTCAAGATCCTGACGCGCTCGCTTGGCTCGTGTCGGTGCCGATTCCGGCTCCATCACGCCTGGCCGTGGATCTGCCCCGAGATGCGCTGGTGGGTTGTGGCTTTCAAGATCCTTGCAGGAAAAATTGGCAGATAATACAATCCAAGCAGAAGTGTATCCAATTTGAGTTGCGGGTGAACTTGTCAAGAGATAAAGTCCTCTTCCGATCGCGAGGCGCGTCTTGTCAAGTGCAGTGCATGGGCCTCTCTCGAGCCCCAATCTAGCTAGTGCTTGGTTGAAACGCGCCCCAGAGGTTTCCTGGCACGAAAGTGGAAGGACCTCACGTGACTCTTCTGCGTGCAGATGAATAGGGGAAAATATGGAGACGTACAACCACGAGTAGGCTCGGCGTCACCTTATCTGCTGGTGCGAACACAACAACGAAGAACAACACCACAGCTTGAATGGTCTATCAAAACATCAATCATCCCACAGACCCAAGACGCTCCATATACGCCAAAACTCCCAAGATCAGTTCCCAGACAGCCCAGATATGCTCGTTATCATTAGACACAGGCCGTGCATCATGCAGACCTGTGGACACCGGCCTGCGAAGACGCTCAGTCCACAAGCATGGTATCATCACCATCGAATGCAGGGCCCTGTGGCTCCAGGGGCACCCCCCTTCCCCTCCCCGCCAACAGCTCGCGACGAACCTCAGGCCCGATGCCCACGTGTCCATGGGTCAAGAGTAGATCGAGCAGCAGCTCGCGCTGCTCCTCCGTGATCTGGTCTCGGTAGTGTTGCGCAAACGACAGGAGGCACTTGTGCCAAATGACAGGCAGAGCAACCCTGCTCATCGCTGACCCATCTTTGCCGATTTGGCCAACATCCTCTTCCCTGACAGAGGCCGGGTCTGCGTTTCGGAAACGGAGGACTAATCTAGGCGTCAGCACCCCCGCGTGGTCGTTATGTGACGTACTACTGTTCCTGGGGGGCGACTTACAATGGAACACTAATGCGTCTATGCACTGATATGGAAGAGCGTACTTCTTTTCCAAGAGACAGCGAAGCAGGATATTGGTGGCGCCACCGCCCTCGGTGCCCTGCGATGCCTCTTGGGCCGCAATATCGCACAGGCCTTTGATCGCCGCGGCCGAGTGCAGCACAGGAACCGACACTCTCGTCAGGACAGCAGCCACGATTGCAGCCTCCCGGAGGGTGCAGCCGCCAGACACCAGCGGGAACAGAAAGCCCTTGAACCAAGCGGCTGGTCTGTACAGACCCTTCTTGAGCGCGTTGAAGATGTGGGGATTCAACTTCTTGTGCTCAAAAATGTCCGTCTTGAAGGCGTCCAGGACCACAAGCTCCATGAATCGCTGAGCTACTATGGGCTTGGCTGAGGAGAAAATCTTGGTGGCGGCAAACACGGCGTTCGCGGTCCAGAGGTGAGGATTGGTGATGGAGAGAATGTCTTCCCATCGGGGGATCGTTGGGAGGACCTTGAACGGCTTCGGCAGCTTTCCGGATTTATCTGCTCATCATTAGTACCAGGCGACCGAAACGGGTCCTGTCTGCGAATGGACTCTGTGCCTACATCTTGCGAGCATTTCGCCGATACTGAAAGCCCAGGGCATATGTTAGCATCCAGTTGCTCGTCTCCCATGCAGCCTTACCAAGTCGGTCCAATCCAACTTACACAGTATAAACATCAATCACTTTGGGCGGCAGGTCCTGCACGTCCTCGTCCACGGCTGATATCCGTGCTTTCCTGGCATCCATGGCCTCTTTTTCCTGAATTTTGGCCATGATGATATCGGCAAGGTTCGTCGGAGCCTCCTGCTCGACCTCCTGGCCGCCTCCCCAGCCCAGCTTCAGCAGTGGGTCGTCGTCTCCGCCGCCGGGAAGGAAACGGTTGAAGGCCTCTAGGTCTTCCGGGTCAACCTCGACCTCCTCGACTTCCTCGTCCGAGCCCCAGGCAGCATCGTCGTCGGGGTACTCCTCGAAGTCCGGCCCGTCCATGTCGTCCCTCGAGTCGAACGCGAAGGCATCGCGGGCGCCTGACGGGGCTCTGCGCTTTCGGTCTTCTTCCTCCAGCTCCCGGCCTAGAGCCAAGATTTTCTGCGAGGCCCTGCTGTCGACATATTGGTCACCCTCGCCGGCCTCCTTCGACTTCCTCTTGGGGGCCTTCTGTTTGAGAACGCCGGTGGCCAGGATGTCGGATTCGAGCGGGTTATGGCGCCGCGAGCGCGAGGTCGGTGTTGTAGCTTTGGGCATCGTGGCGGTGTTATCAGACAGTCGCAATTCTGGTTGCGTTCTTTCCGTAGTATTTGGAGCTGCGCAACACTTGATTGGCATTCGCAACAACTTTTTTTTTTGTGTTGATGGCGGGGTGCCATCTTCTGCCGTGCGGTCAGCCACCAATGGACCCATATGTGCAAAAATAGCCCACGTTGATTGGATAGATGCTAATATGTGGATCTTCGATAAGCGGATAACGGGGGTTTTTTGTTTTTTTTCCCTTCCATTTGGCTCCGTGTCTCCATCCCGCCCCGCATCCCTATGCGCGAATGGGTGAAAGGCATCACTGGAAGCTGCAGCGAACAGCCAGAACGCTGCATACTGCATTCCACCCTTGCTGAATCCATTCACAGCTGAGGACAGACTGCTAGATCGGCATTGTATTCCCTTTGTCACAAGATTGCCGATCCGGACTCTGCGAAGATGCCGACGGAACTCGAAGAGGTAGGTAGATGCCCCCTATCGCAACTCATTATTGCAACGGAGGGTCGCTAAATACCATGGCTCTGTAGTTGGTCGGTTTTGTCGCCCATCCGAATCCTCAAATCCGCCAAGTTGCTGTTGAGCACTTGGTACCTTATTCCACAGCCGATGTAGCCGTCTTTAAGAGCGAACAGCTCACTCCGATAAAGAATCTCAAGATTCTGATCCGAGATCATCCAGTATGTAGATCCTTGAACAAGATGCGCCTCCCGTGTCAAGGGACAAGTGCGCTAATGCGAGCCCCTGTGAATTTGTCTTACAGAAAATCGCAGTCCACGCCATCCATATTCTCGTCAACCTCTCCGCAGACGAAGAAATTCTCAAGAACCTGGCTTCAGACCAAAAGTTCACAGAGACAGTATTTGCGCGCATCGTGGTACGTATAAGTCGGAACACCCATTCAGCTCACGATCTAATGCGCAATCCTACCAGAGCCCGTCAGAAGAGAATGCGAATCTTTTGGCAATGCTTCTGGCGAATCTCGCCAAGTCAGATGCGCTCAAGGACATATTGTCTCGGAAACAGAGCGCGCCTGAGCCGCTGGGGTCCGACGATCAGATCATAAACCAGCTTATGGACCTCTTCGTCAAGGGTGTGGACGGCTCATACAATAAGCATGCCAACTACGACTACCTCGCCTACCTGTTCGCAGACCTGGCCAAGCACGACGACGTGCGCAAGTATTTTGTCGAGAAGCAGCCATATGATGGCGTGGTTCCCCTGTCCAAGCTGCGAGTCTTTACGGAGCACAAGTCGGACGTGAGGAGGCGGGGTGTGGCTAGCACGATCAAGAACGTGGCCTTCGACGTGCCATCGCACCCGACTCTGCTGTCCCAGGACGAGGTCAATATCCTCTCTTACGTACTGCTGCCCATCATGGGCAACGAGGACTACGACGAGGACGAGATGCTGGAGATGCTCCCAGACCTGCAGCTGCTGCCGCCGGACAAGAAGAGGGAGGCAGACCACAACATCATACAGACACACGTCGAGACGCTGACGCTACTCACGACCACGAGGGAGGGGAGAGAGTTTATGCGTGAGGTTAAGGTCTACCCCATAATCCGAGAGACGCACATGCGCGTGGAGCATGATGGGGCGAAGGATGCCTGCGAGCGGTTGGTGCAGGTGCTAGCGAGGGACGAGGCAGAGGAGGTGGAGGAGGTGGATGACGATGAGAGGATCGTGGAGATTGAGTAACCTGTGTGCATATGTGTGTCCGCATACATAAGATGAGCTCGTTGACCTGGCCCTCGTGGATGTGAAGTTGTAGGACTTAACATGTGCTGAAGCGTGTGTGATTTTTACTGCGAAAATGTTTACCGAAGGCTTTGTTTTAACCCCCGATGAACCAAAAAGAAAAAAAACCCAGCACATTGAGAGTTGAGAGATTATAACTGCACATAAATTGATACGCAGTGAACTGTTAGAATAAAAATATATCTTGTATTTGGTGCGAAGATGGTCGAAATTGGCGACCTGGCTGGAACTACGGCACGACAGGTTGGTTATAAGCCCACCCTAGCACTAATGTGCCCATCCAAGAAGCGGGGCGAATGGTTTAGTGGTATAACGCTTCCTTAGCATGGAAGAGGTCCGGGGTTCGATTCCCCGTTTGTCCAGTTCCGAGTCTTTCCTTTTGCTAGTTTTGTCGTCGACATCGGCCTTGCTTTCGGAATCGTTGTCGGAGTGTTATTTTTTTTTATATATACAATCCAGTCCAATGTCTTCTACACCGTTGACCAATGTGTTTCTGCTTGAGTGCCGTTACAGGAATGCTTAGAGATTGGGGGAAGCACAGGCTTGGCATCGGACCTCGAAATTTACTTTGCATTTCGAATGGACCCATATGGGTGTGGGTGGGCTGTAATAGCGCGCCATGTTGTTGGGAGTGGCTTGCAAGGTTTGTTACGCGGTGACGCTACTTCAAATCATCATCAACGGTCAACAATGTTAGTCCTGCTCCATTCCTGTGACTCTTCCTCCACCCTAGTTCTCGTCCACACTTGAACCTCTTTTCGCCTCCTCGTAGCTCCGTTTTCTAGCCCTGCGGGCGGTCTGACGGAATGGGGCCTGCATGGGGCCTGGTCTCTGTCTTTGCCTCCCTCCAGCGCCCGCGAGCATGTGAAAGCGACCCGCTGCCGTCAAACGTGCCGGTCGGTGGCGGGGCTTCAGCGGTTGCGGCCTGGTCAAACGAGCGTTTTCCCACCGTGCATGCGCAAGCTTTCGCCGCTGATACGGGCTTCTTCTGCTGAGTCTGCACCCCTAATCCCCTCACGTACAGGCATGGTTCCCAGGTGGCCGGGGGTGGCCGCACAGATTCGGCGGGACTCGGCTCGCTCGTGCAAGCAACTTTGACCTCACTGCATTCTTTTTTTTTTCTTTTCTTCTCTTCTCTCATTCTTCCTGCAGCTGCCCGTCTTTGCGCCTCGAGTCCCTTTGCCATTCGCTTCTCACTCACCTAATTCGCGTTCTTCACCGTTGGGGGAAGTATCCGCCCTTGGTAGATAACCTACCTGCGGGTGCCCATAACTTACTGGCTGCTGGCTCTTGGAGTCGCCGGCCGATACTCTCTTTCCCGCTGGCATCCGTCTGTCTCTCTTGCTTACCCTTGTCACTGTTTCAGCTGTCACCCACAAGTCTCCGACTCAGCTTCCCGCAGGCTGGCCCAGCGTTGCGTCGAGGGTCCGCCACACACCCAAGCATTCCGTACCGATAAGACAGCCTCTTCTGGGTGCCGGGAAACCTTGGAGCTCTGAGCCCGAACCGAAAAAAAAGGCCTCCCACCTTCACTCATGCGGATCTGGGTGAAATTGTGTCAGACGTAAGGCCCTTGAGGCCGGAGCATCGGCTTGTTCTTCTGCACGCCGTTGCGGTTCCCCCTTCGAATTCGGCTATCTTCCCCCTGCTGCCCTTGCCCTTGCCCTTGCCCTCCGCCGCCGTCGTCAGAAGCCAACCCACCCATCATGGTGGCAACCTCACAAGACGGAGGTCTATCCGCAGGGCCAATATCCGTCATTTTCGAGGTCCTCCCGACCTCGATCCAGGCCATCATCCCGCCCATCCCCTCGCTCAGGCGATCAGTCAGCCAAAGGAGGATGATGAAGGCCACCTCCTTCCTCCCTGCCGCTCTCTTTGTCCTGCAATCACAGACCCCGCTTCCCGCCGCCGATAGCCTCCGCCCGCTCTCGACCGACGACGTCAGCCTCGTCGTCGAGGAGGACATGGAGAGCACCACCGACGAAAGCACCACCACCGCCGACCCGAGAGACATCGCCCAGTACTCGACCCCGAGGCAGGTTCGCCCCCGCGAGGTCGTCGAGTACGCCGCCGCGCCGCCGCAGCCGCGGTCCGGGGGCAGGATGGGCTTTCAGTTCCTGCGGCTCTCGCGGCGGTCCAGCTCGACGGCGTCGTCGTCAGCGTCGTCGTCGGCGGCGCCGGGCGCCAGCGCCGGCATCGACCGCAAGTTCCAGCGGCGCGGACGCGAGCTCCTCCGCGACTCCGAGGCCGAGGCCGACCCGTCCAACCCAGACCCGAACCCGGCCTTTGAGCGCCGCGCCTACCTGGACGGCATCGCGTACCTGCTCCAGGGCCTCCCCCGCGACCTGGACGAGGTCGAGGTCAGCATCCTGCGCGGCTCGTTGCCCGACCCGCTGCGCCATGACGCGAACCTACGGCAGCGCAACGGCCTGACGAACGGCGGCGACGAGTTCCAGCGGTCGTCGGGCTTGTCGTCGCCCGAGCTCTCGGCACATGGCGGCGGTGAGTCCGTGTCGATGCTGCGGCTGCGGGGCGCGGGCCCGTCGCCGGTGCACAGGACGGTGCGGACGCTCATGACGGGGCTCATCTTCATGCTGCGGCTCTTCTTGTCCGTCTTCGCCACGGCGGTGCAGGAGGTGGTGCGGGTGGGCAACGAGTACCAGATCCCGGAGCGCGTGACGCGCCAGACCATGTTCATGGCCAGCTCCTTCGCCAGCATGGGCACGTCGGCCGCCAGCACCATCGGCAGCGTGAGCAAGGCGTCGTACGCCATGGTCGACGACCGCGTCGGCAACGGCCTCGGCACCATTCTGCGGTGGGTCGCCGACGAGACCATCGCGGGCGTGTGCGACGGCCTGCGCGACGGCCTGCGTTACCAGCTGTACCAAGAGGGGCAATAGCGGTCACTGGAGCAATCCTCGGAGGGCATGTTTTGTTTTTCTCGAACTCTCTCTGACTCTTTCATCCTCTTTTCCTTTGTCACACAACGCTATGATGTACGATCTACCAGATATCGTCAAATTTGGACGTCTGGGATATAGAAACGAACGACCACGTAAGGAGAAATTGGATAGAAGCCATGTTCAACTATCGGGTTCTCGAGGCGGTTTATGGCGTTAGTTAGGAAAGGCACGCTTGTTTTTAAAAGGCAGTGTTTTAATCTTGGTTTTGTTCATCAAATGTTGTCGTGCATCATCACCAAAGGTCGCCAATCCGAATTGAAATTGTTGTTACACAGTGTCTCCAGTAAGCAGATAATGATAGTTCGGTCCACACTGTCCTGATAGTCTCCTCAAAGCTGACGAGGCTTGCCGAGAGCTAGCTGAGCGAATTCTTGTGTTCATGTTGCTTTGGGACTGAGTGCCGCGATGCAACGGGGTGGAAGCAGACAAGCGGCTAAAAGGGAAATAAATCACTGCTCTTGTCGCATGGCCATGGATATCAATGGAGCCCGTCGAATTAAGTTCAATGCTGGGCCGGAGTCTGGGACGTACCAAGTAAAAAAAGCCCACCAGTAGCGTCGGCAATGCGCTAGTGGTGGATATCATTAGGTGATGGCCTGGGAGCTCAGCGCGCTGCGCCCCGGATCCACGTGCTAAGTGTGCAGTGCCTGTGCCAGATTTAGCGGCTGGAACAGGGGCGCCCGCGCGACAGTGTGGGACACGGTGCCATCCGCAACGCAGCCGAGCCCTCCCCCATGCCCCCCATCAGTGCTGTCCCGCTGTGTTTGGTGGACACCCACTCAGCCGGCCCAGCCTGCTCACTCCATTGTCCCGCTCATTGACAGCTGCGCGGCCGTGGGAGGGATACGTATTCGTTTGGGGAGCAACCACACGAGTCGGCCAAGAAAGTCAGACGACGACCAGACAACAAAAGAGCATTGTTGCTACCTTCTCACCACACCGCCAGCGCGCATTGTAGTCTTTGACAGTTGTCAATTGAAGCCCGCGGGTCTGCGAATCGAACCGCCCCCCGCATCTCCTTTCATTTCCCCGCGTCTTTGGGCTCGTTTTGGGCTTATCGACGGATTCGGCCTTGCCTCGACACCAACAAGCACGCTCGAAGCAAATAAATCGGTAGCCAATTAACAACCCGCACGGCACCGGGCATTCATTTGTGCTCTCACCTTTTATACCATCCCACTCAAACTCGCGGAAGCGACGACAAAGACGCCCACGCACTGCCATCTACCAGCCGATACTCGTCCCGAACTCCAAGCCGCCGCCGCCGCTGCCGCCCCGCGTCGTTCCACATGCGCCGACGGAGGGCCCGGTGATCTGATGAATACGGCTTGGCCACGACTGAGGACGCTCCGTGTCGGGGTGGACGAGGCCGTGCCTTGAGTGTTTTTGTTGCCCTCCTGCAACCAACGGCCCCAGACGCCAGCCGCCATGTCCGCCTCCACGACCACGAGCCGCCCACGCCAGCGCCGCGCCGGCAGCGCAGGCCTAACCGACGACGGCTCCAAGTCCCGATCTACCTCGACTTCCCTCCTCGCCGCCGGCCCGACGAGCTCATCATCCAGTCGCCGGGTGAGTCCCACCCCGAGCTCCCGGAACTCCCGGAACCCCTCGTCCTCGCGAGCCAGCGATTCGTCCTCTTGGATCGTCGGCGGCGGCGGCGGCGGAGCGAGCTCCTCCTCGCTCGGAAAGGGGCTGTGGGATGGTGGTTTGGCGCCAGCTTGGGCCTCGGTCCAAGGCTTCGCCTCGTCCATACTATCTGGGGAGAGCCCGTACGCGAGTGATACGGACCGGCAAGGAGAAAGCAACAAAAGCCGTGCCAGGCGGCCAACGCACCGACTGGAGCATACATCTCCTCGACAGGCTCCCGAGGCCTGGGGCCCTGAGCCACCGGGCTCCAAGCAGAAGCCCCATCTTGACCATGTCGCGGCCGGTAGTATGGCCGAGCGTGAGGCGGCTCTCAAGGCCAGGCGTACGGCGAGCGTGCTGGAGAGCCACGAGGGCGTCAACGGGGGGCTCGACGTAGCGGGAAAGTTCAAGCGGCGGTCCTCAGACGAGAATCTCAGAGGATCCAGCGCCACTCAGGAGCCCGAGGAGTACCTCGCCTATATCCACCATGTCCAGCCGTCGGACACGTATGCCGGCATAGTTTTGAAATACCGCTGCCGAGAGGACGCTTTCCGGAAGGCCAACGGGCTGTGGTCGAGGGACAACATACAAATACGCAACTTCCTGGTAATGCCCGTGGACGCATGTGAGATTAAGGGCCGAACTTGCGGTCCACCAACGTATTACTCTCAGGATGTTGACCTGCTGGCGACTACGCCAGGGAAGGGGGGCGGCAGCAAGGATGTGGACGACTTCTTTAGTCCCTCCCCGAATGGAAAGTTTGCCGAACAACCACCGTCAATCGAAGATGCACACCCGTGGACGCACGTCAGGTGGGTGGCGCTAGAATCTTTCAAAGGCCCGATAGAGATTGCGCGGGTCTCACGGAGGAATACTGGTTACTTCCCCCCACGGAGGAAGAAGAGCGTGCACACGACCACGACCCTTTCGACCCCCCGAGGATCGATGGATTTGCCAGGAATCAACCTCGCCGAGTCGATCGACAGCCCCAGCAGCACATCCTCCCGGAGACTGAGCGGGCTCTCCAACAGGCCCCAGGGGGCGGGGCACGCATACAGCGCGTCAGTTCCGTCACCGTCATCCCGGAGCAGGGGCGGCAGTGTTGGGCAGGATGAACACAGGCCGGCGTGGATGCGGCGGCCGGGCGGGGTCGGGTCGCTCGGGAGGACGGTGCGCGCGCCAGGCCCGGAGAAGGACTACTTCAACGTCTTTGCGCACAAGCACTTCCCCGGCATCGGCATCGGCTCGCTACCGTCCATGTCCGTCATGGGCTCCGAGACTGCGCGCTTCGGCTTCAACCCGGAGGCCAACGGGATCGTGGAAAGTCCCTTTGAAGGTGGCCGTGACGGAACTTCGGCGGCTGCGGCCGCGGCCGCGGGAAATAACGGGACGGGCCTCGAGCAGGCGGCGGCCACGGTCGAGATGTGGCTGCGAGGCGCCTTCGCCAAGCGCTCGTCCGGATCCATGAGCCCCGGTTTGCGCCGGCAGACGCAGCAGCAACAACAACAACAGCAGCAGTCCCACGCCCGCCACTCGAGCGACTTTGACACCACGGGCTACAGCGACCTCATAGAGCTTGAGGACACCAACAGCGACGACGGGCGGGCTGGCGGCGCCGTGAACCTGCTGAGCTCATCGGGTAACGCCGCGGGCTCGTCTGGACGGAGCGGTGGGAACAGCTCGGCGCTGCGGGGTCGGACGACAGCCGGCGGAGGAGGAGGAGGAGGCGTGGGCAAGGGGAAGAAGGCGGATTAGGGGACCGAATGCATGGTGAAGATGTGCCCGTGGCCCGCCAGGGGCGAGTTGCTCAGAATTGCATGATCGCGTCAAAGTTGCAGATAGATATACAGCTTGTCGCGGAGAGGATATTTGGATAAGAGGGAGAGTTTTTACCCCTTCAGGCATAAAGCGGCGTTTTCACTTGTTTTTCTTTGTTTTTTTCTCTTTTACATGCTTGGGCATGCGATCTGTATATACAGGGATTTTATCACCGTTATTCTTTCCATTCATCTATGTAGGGCGTTCAAAAAAGTCTTCTGTCTTCGCATTCACTAATTCCTGTAAGTGTAGGTGGCATTCAGATATGGATGCTCCTGAACGCAACCTGGGGCTGGGGGCTTGGTGGCGGGGTTAGGGTTTCGCGGCCCTCCAAACCATCGCCAGCGACTTGTCGTTCTGGCCATTTGATATCCGCGCCGGGTCCCTCATACCCACCACCTGGAGCACCCTCCGAACCCACCATTGTGCCCGCCGGCACTCGACACGCGCAATGACGATATACCTACGAAACGGCTGACCGCGACAACCACCGAAAACGCTCGACGACCACGCCGCCGGACCTGAACGCGGCCCGCCCCGTGGGCGCCGGCGCCAAATAATGCCCATCTGCATCGAGTGCCGGCACCCGGTCAAGACGCTATGGACCAAGTACTCGGGGGCCGGGGACAAGTCGAGCGGGCACAACATCCGGCTGACGGTGTGCAAGAACTGCGGGCGCTTCTGCGACAAGTACGTCGAGCACGACTTTGTCGTGCTCTTCATCGACCTGGTGCTCATCAAGCCGCAGGTCTACCGCCACCTGCTGCACAACTCGCTGATGCGCGAGGGGGACCGGTTTGACGTGTGTTCTTGTTCTCTCGACCGACCTGCGATGCTCCCCC